GAGCACTTTTCTCATTATGATCTAAATGTCATGTAAAGTGTGTGTTGCCTGCTCCAGAGTCTGTGTCTCGCTCCTTCCTTGTGTTCACCGAGTGCACTTGTAAATAATAATAATCATAATAACTTTACTTTGAACTCTTTCTATTTTAGGAAATGCTAAACTTTAGAAATGTTTAGAAATGTTTTATTCTGCCTTATTCTTCTCTTCTCTACTTTTGAGTCGTTTGCAGCGAGAGCCAAAGCAGTTTCCTCGTCTGTGACTTCCTGTTACTTACATGGCAATAAAAATGATTCTGATTCTGCCTGTTTTTGGATGTTTTTAGTGCTTTTTGAACATTAAACTTGTTAAACTTCTTTCTGACTGTGGTCTGTGTTTGAGCCTCTCTTTGTTCATGTCTCAGTTTGTGTCAATACAGTTATGAAATCATTTATGAAGCAGAGAAATATATGGACCTGGTACTGGTTACACAGGACCAGAGGAAACAGTAGAGTAGAGTAGGGTGGTAGGGTAGGGTAGGGTAGGGTAGGGTACAGTCTCTTGTGTGAGGTCCTGGGTTCGAATCCCGGTCGGACCAGGGCCTTTCTGAGTGGAGTTTGCATGTTCCCCCGGTGTCTGCGTAGGTTTCCTCCGGTTACTACTGGTTACACAGGACCAGATGAAACAGTAGAGTAGAGTAGAGTAGAGTAGGGTAGAGTAGAGTAGAGTAGAGTAGAGTAGAGTAGGGTAGGGTAGGGTAGGGTAGGGTAGGGTAGGGTAGGGTAGGGTAGGGTAGGGTAGGGTAGAGTAGAGTAGAGTAGAGTAGTGTAGAGTAGAGTAGAGTAGGGTAGGGTAGAGTAGAGTAGAGTAGGGCTGGTGGAAACAGAGCTTATATATTGTGTATACTTATAATCTGTTCTGGAATAGGCATGAGCTTTTTGAAGGAAAAGGTCCACATTTGAACACTTACGGAGTTAAAGTGTTGATGGATAACTTTTCTTTTGCCCTGAGATCTCAGCCTGAGCAGCGCGTGCAGCCATCGAAAGGGAGGAAGAAGCAAAGGGCTTCTCCAGCGAGACAAACATCTCCACCGACTCCAAAGGTCTCTGTACCTCCACTGCCTCGAAGGATCTCAACACCTACACCGTCACCAGCAGCAGCTGCATCATCACCAGCAGCACCACCATCATCCTCATCCCCAGCCCGCTGAGAAGCAGTCACGCCTTCTCCACCTACAGCTCCTCTGAAGCCCCCATCCTCCCCCCCCAGGCTACAGCAGACAGGCCGGTGCTGGGGTTTCCTCAACCACCTCCCCCTCCACCAAAGGCTCCCATGGACCTGTCTTGGGCCCCCCCTGCCACAGCCACTCCATCAAGGGAAAATGGGGACACGTCCCTTTGTTTTTCATCCCCGGCTTCACTGTTAGACCTACCTGAACACTCTGCAGGGCTAATAATATCGGCGATGAAGACTATTCCTCTCACACCCATATTAGCTCGATCTGGAGAACTCCCCATATGTACCTCCAAAGCAACCTAGGGTATCCAATTCTACTGATTCACCTACAAAAACCACCTCAGCCCGTCCTTCCCCTAACCTCATAACCATTTCACCCCCAATTCCCCCTCGTTCAACACCCAATACCTCCACCTAAGCCCACCCGTCCCCTAACCCATCACCAAAAAACCCCTCTACCTACCCGTCCCCCTCGTCCAACACTCAACCACCCACCTCTCCATCCTCCACCCCCCGCCTTCCCCTTCCCCTCTTCAAAAAATTGACTCCTGTGGGAATTGAACTCACAACCTTTGAATCACTGCTCAAATCCAATGCCCTATCCATTGTGCCAAGAAAATGACAAGTTGGTCGTAGTCGGAGCAACCAAGATTATCACGTAAATGTGGGTTTGAATCCCGACGACAACATCTCAGAGGTTGATTAAAAAAACCACAAGCGTTTTCTTCCTGGGAATTGGAGGATCTTTGTTTACATCCGTCACTCGCTGTGCGGCAAGAAGACAGAGCGGCACAAACAGAAGCATGGATGAGACCAGTACTTTTAAAAGACTTAGTGGGAGAAATGCACTGTATATAAGTACTTTAACACAAGGAGATCAGAGAAGACATAAAGATGAGATTAAAATAAGTATAGGAGACTGAACTGAACACATCCACAGCCCAGATGAGACCGAGGAGGACCACAAACGTCAGACTCGCCTCTGTCTTTGCACCGATCTGCGAGACATTTACTCTTACTTACTCTATGATTATCTGTTTCTAGGTTGGGCTGTTTTTTTCCCATGAAACAGAAGTCCGTGATTGTGTCAGACCAGGTGGAGTCAGACCAGGCGGAGTCAGACCAGGTGAGGTCAGACCAGGTGGGGTCATCGCTGTGGTTGATTACGAAGGAGAGAAATCATCACTTACTGTGTCAGAAAAACCAGGTAAGTTTTTCTTTCTGTTGATCCCAGAATCCAGACTTTCTTCTGAGCGTTCATTCTCCTGATCGTCCTAAAACATTACCTGCAAATAAGAGCCTGAGGTGAGACCCTCGGGGACGACAGACTCAGAGATACAGAGTTTAACCAGGACTAGTCCACAAGATTATTGAATGACATGTGTGTTTACGACATCTGGTGTCTGACCAACCATAAGGCCCCTCTGCTACTATAAGAAAGCAGCGTTTGCTTCAGTCTTAGTCTTTCCATCGGTGCATCTTGCAGGAGACCCAGGTTATGAAGCTTAGCCTGTAATGTGCCTTTATTCTGTTTTTATACATTAAACCTTCTTTTGTAAATCTAGAAGAGTCTGATCATTTCCATATCACTGTTTGTGCGGGAGGTGTGACATGTGGATGTGTCTGTGTTAGTGACCAGCAAGTAAGTACCATGTGTGACGTGTTGATGTGTCTGTGTTAGTGACCAGCAAGTAAGTACCATGTGTGACGTGTTGATGTGTCTGTGTTAGTGACCAGTTCCAAGGCCAAAATGAGCAAGCTACAAGTGGACTATGAGACCGATACCTCCACTCGTGCGCTTACTGAAGCCTGTCTCAAGTCTGCTCTGGAAAAGTTTTTCAAAAGAGCGGAGGATGAATCTAAGGAGCGATTCGAGCGCCTAGAGGATCAACTAGGCTCAATCCAGAACACTCTCTCTAAACATGCGGCAGAAATGGAGTCTCAGCGTGCCATTGTGGCCTCCATTGACACCCGTGTCCAAAGCAATCTCTCACAGGCTCTCAGCCAAATGGAGCTTAAATTGGTGTCATTTGAGGACAGGAGCAGACGCGACAACATTCACATTCTAAACATCAAGGAAGGAGAAGAACGTGGGAATATGCTGTCTTACCTTACAGTGAACCTTCCCAAATGGCTCCCTGGTTTAGCCGAAGCTCCAGTGGAAATCATGAACGCTCACTGTTACAACCCTATAGTTGAGCTCGTCGGGGAAGAGGGATGTAACAAAACCAAGATGTAAAAATGGTAATTTAAATGACCTTTTAATAAAACATGCAAAAGGGGGTAACAGTTTGTACTGGACAGCGTCAGAGTCAAAATAAAACACACAAAAACACAGGGTTCTCAAATAAACACAACACAGAGCCACACAGGCAACCTTAAGATTAGGCTTTAGCGCACACAGAAAACACGTTCTCTCAGAACAAAAGCAGACAAGACACTGATTCAAGCCGCCGCGCACAGAAGGAGCAGGCTGATTTTCAAGGCTGGTGCTGATTAGCAGCAGCGACGGATTGGTCAGACGTGGAGAGCGCGACCCAATCTCAGAACCGAGGAAGCAGAACTGGGAGGCAGCGCTCGTTACCGGCGTGAGTGTGATTGTGTGGGAGTGGGTGAAATATTGTTTGTGTGTTTGCTTGGAAGATGATGTTGTTGTGTGCTTGTGTCTGTTGTGTGTCTGTTGTGTCTCTGTGGCCCTTCGCTCTGTGACTGCTGCCCCTCTTCTCTGATTTATGTTTCTGAGAAAGAAATATATGTCCAGCTTGGATAGTATAGACTCCTCTGACGTTGAGGAGGCTGACACAAATATATATGATCTCAGTTTGGACCAAATGATCAAAATCACCAACAATATTAATTATAAATCACAAAGTTCAATGAATGAAATGGATCCGGACAGCAGTATTCTCAAACACAATGATTGTATGTATTTTACTGAAGACACATTTCACAAAGAATTCACACTGGATAACGTCATTTCTTTAGTTCACTTTAACAGTAGAAGTTTATTTGACAATTTTGATTCCATCCAGGACTGCTTAAAACAATGTAAATCCTTTGAACATAGTGGCTTTCTCTGAGACATGGTTAAGTAAGGATAAGGGAAATGAGTTTCTAATGGATGGGTATGTTTTGTACTCACAGACACCAAAAACCTGGAGGAGGTGTGGCGCTGTTTATAGATAATAATAATAAATGTTCCATCATAGAAAATATGTCTTTAGCTGTTAATGATATTGTTATAGAAATCTTACTGGGATTATAAATCAATTTAACTTAAGAATTAATCTAATGATGAGATGGGATATCTGGGACAAAGTTCAAAGCCAGTAAATCTGTTGAAACTAACTAAACTGTTGTTCTGTAGGGACGCGAGGCCAATGACGGGGTGGAGGCAGATACTAGTTCGATATCAGGGGCAAGAAGAGCGGGCTCACCGGTCAGACTGACCATTCTTCCTAATATCAGAGTAATATCAGAGTCTATCAGAGTAAGACGTCAGAAGAGAGGGGGGTTTGGGCAATAGCTGCCACTTAACCTCGGACTCAGAGACGCCATAGATAGGCTCTTCTGTTTGTTTCATCCTATAAGTGTGAGAGAGAGTGAGCACTATTCAGCAGATCTACCGGGACCTGCCACGCGGTTACACGGTTGTATTTCCTGTATATGTATACATTTACTGAGATAATAAACCACACTTTGATTTGAATTACAGCTCTTGTTGTTTATTTTATATTTAATAATGTGCATTTTACTCCTTAGAAATTCCACAACAATTTGGCGTCAACGAACAGTCCCGTCGTCTGGAAGGGGTCCGCTGCGTTTGGATCCAGGAAGGGTCGCAACCCCGACCTTGAATCGGTCTTCCCCCTCGCAACGTTTGAGATAAAGGAGGATTTCTGGCTCCACACCTGGCGGATCCGTCCAGCGCATGGTGACCAAACGAACCAACTTAAACAACCAGTGTGGTAAGAGCTGTATTCTTTCAAACTGTCAAAAGAACCCCGTATTTTATCTCTCCGCGCAAAACTAAAAGCCCCATTTTCACCCAGCGAGAGGCCTTGGCTGTCCTGTTCCCAGAGTCAGTGGTTTTCCTGTTCTTGAACTAGTAATTTTTAAGAGCTAACCGTGTGTTAACTGGCTTGACTTTGAACTGGTGAGTTTTAAGAGTTAAATGGGTTCCTAATGTTTTAACTGGCTTGACTTTAACTAGTAAGTTTTAAGAGCTAACCGTGTGTTAAATGGCTTGACTTTGAACTAGTGAGTTTTAAGAGTTAAATGGAACAGATGTTTTAACTGGCTGGACTTTAACTAGCAGGGTTAAGGGTTAATCGTGTATTAACTAGCGTGACTTGGACTAGTGAGGGCATAGTAAGGAGAATAAGGACAGCCAGAGTGGGCCAAGATGGGTCAAAATCAGGGATCATCATCATCTGACAGGGACAAGGTCCCACAAACCGCGGTGACGAAGGCAATGGCCTGAAAATATGGGCCAACGGCCCTTGAATGTTCAAATGTATGGTCTGGAAAAATAGGGTTTCCCGGACAGTAGGTCTTCAAGCTTAAATCAAGTCTATAAACTACAAACATTTAGAAAATTAGCAAATGAAACCTACCAAATAGATTCTGACGTATGTAATAATGAGTCTGGCGTACTATGTACAAATTCTTGACAAAACATGAGTGTTTGAGTATGTGAACGGATGAAGTAGAGGGAGTAAAAGAAAAGAAAATAAGAGTAGTTGATTTAAACTAATTAGTTGGTTAATTACATTGGGGGAAATGTAACCATACACACATTACAAACATATACAGAGCCCAGATCCAGTACAGTCCTGGGCGACTCAGACTGGTATGAAAGTGACATGAGATGTGTGAAGCGAGCCAGGAGTGATAAGACTTGAACTGGAGTGACCGAGAATGACTGTGAGAGTGACTGATAAACAAAGAAATACAAGTCTGTGTGGAGAGCAAATGGAAAGTCAGAATGAGAGCATGAATGTATGTAAGAGACCCAATCGAACCACCTGAATACGCTATCAAGAGGCGTATAGGCGCGACGACACACACACACACACACACACATGCACGCAAACACGCACACGCAATCTATCAAAGGGCAAGTTACTGCCGTATCTTTTTTTTTTCTATTTTCACATAGATAACCCTGGGATCGTGGATGCTTCTGAGCCGGTCAGATGTGTGGACCCCGACCTAGACCCTGGACGTGTGACTAAACGTCCCCAAACCTCAGACTCTGATGGAGGACAATGATATGGAGGGTAAGACAAACCCCTTCCTGAACCAGAACCCCCGTCAGTTACCCACAAAGCCCAACATGGACAGGTCTGGTGCCCCAAACAGTCATGAAAGCCAAGAACTCTGTCCCCGGCCCCCTGTGCCCAAACCAGTCATGCCAAGAAATACCACAAATTTAGACTATTCTAAAGTTTAGAGTAGCTTGACAAACCCTATTGTCAGAGAAAAAAAAAAAGAAGAGAAAAATAGAGTGGGGGATAGGTTACTTTAATCAATTCCGTGGGCCACATACTCCTTGATTAAGGACTTTATTTATTACATAACGTCCCCGAATGGGTGAAGGACACATTCTTTTCTTTAGAGGCGAAACATGACAAAGGAATTTTTCATAAATCCATTGAAATGTTCTGAATAATCTGAAGGTTGTGAGTTAACCAGAGTTTCTGTGTTTTCAAATTGCCCAGTTGTTTTCCACAGCCGAGACTAAATCTGTGGTCTGTGTGTAAAAATAAGAAATAAGATGGTAAAAATCCCTTGTAGTATAATAGTACTCTGACAGAAGTTGTCTGTCTATAATGTATTTGAATGTAAATTATCACCAAATCCCACAATCAATTTAGTAAATGTAATGTTTTAGTCAGACGACCTGAGGTTTTCATAACTTTGGAAATATGCATTGCTCGATTGTGATGTAGAAAACAGAGTTTGGGGTGAATGTAACTGGTCTGAGAGAGAGAGAGAGAATGGTATGAGAGAGATAAGGACAATAATGACCCACAGCACACACACAACATTACACATTGTTTCTGTTAGAGCCTAGAGCCGCAGAGTGGGAGGGGCTTGTAGTTTTGGGAACAGAAGTGTGAAAGTGTGTGATTGGCATAAAACAGCTGAAAAGACATTTCCAGCCAAAACATAGAGACGTGGAGAGTTCGACTTCTACGTCACAGAGAGACAGTGTCAGACGTCAGAGCGACTGCTCTGAAAATGAGGCATGTTAAATAACTCTGGCAGAGGCTGGAGTAATCGTACATTTCAGAGGCGTAAACAAAGCCATCTTTGCAATAAACAAAATAAACCAGGAGCAAAATAGGTCCAAGTCGTTTATCTATTTTCCTCATGAGGACTCCAAAAATGTTTAAAGCCAAGTATTTTTGTTGTTGTAGTGGTAGACTTGGCAAATGCATATTTTTGTAATTCTAAGGTTTTTATATTTTTCCTTCAATAGGTGCACGAAGGCCAAAGGGGGACCCCAGTTTTTTTTTTTTCCTGTATTTTTGTAAATGCAGCATTGTGTGACTTTAGACTGCACTTGTTTTAGTCAGTTTTCATTTTAGCAACAGTCAGTAATGATAAGATTAAGAGATTTTCAGACGTCCCACAGTGGGGACATTTCAGTGTTGCATTACAACACAAGACAGGTGAATAGTAAGTGTAGCACAACCCTATACTTTTGAATGTAAAATAATTTGGCTCGGTAAAGGTACACGGTAAAGTATTGTGTATTCTAGTGTAAATAAATGTATACTTGTATTTACACATCTGTAAATAAATCTAGAACACTCTCTAGGTCAAGAATATGGAAATGGTAAGTCTTTAACACTGTGATGATGCTACAGTACACGTATTAAAACCAAGTATATCATAAGTCTGTTTGCTACTCAAAGAACATATGAACACATACCACTCGTTCATTTTGTGTATTTGACATACACATACAGCAGCACACAGGTCACATCTCCGAGAGGGAGACACGGAGCGCCATCACGCCTTGGCCACGGGGGTCGAGCCAGAGGAGGGGACTGAGTCCGGCGAATGCCAGGAGGAGCCCTAACCAAAAGTGCCGGGGGCACCCCACCGCGAGGGTCGACGCCCCATCATGGGTCCAGCCCACCGCAGGTGGACCCCAGCTGCCCAGAGCCAAAGGGGACCAACGAGACGGTCTGAGGACCTTCTCCAACGCAAGGATGCAGCAAAGAAGTGGGGGCGGCAGTGTCCGACTTCCAACGCAGAAGTGGAGCCGAAGCAGGAAGGCTTGCTCCCCAACGGCTGAAGGAAGGGACCACCTCGAGGGTCCCCACGACAAAACTTGGTCTGCCTTCTGACCAGGTGTTACACAGATAGAAGCTCTGAGCCATGGGTCAGGTACATTGTTCCCCGCCTTTTCACGAAGCGGAGTCAGAGACTGGGACGATCGGTCTGACCTGGAGGCCGGGACGCCCACCCCGAGGATGGGGGTGGACTGAGAGAGGCTATCTCAGCATTGCGTCAAAACGGGCTTTTGAAACTGTTTTGTGTACGTTTCAGGATTAGCACAACTTAGCATTGGTTTGTGGTACACATACATGCTAGGGTTTTCAAGCATTGACAATCAGTGCACTAACTCTGATGCTTCCACCCACTCTGACCCCATGTGGAAAGCACAGGAGGTCAGAAAAGTGTGAGGCATCCATGTTTAAGGTTAAGTGTTACAGATCTAATGACAAAGCATTAGACCCAATAGATTGGCTTGGACTTGGAACCATCTTTGGACCAGGTCTATTTTAAATCCACATACTCAGGTTTTACTCTCAGGGAGAGAGAGAGTGCACCCAGCACTGCTGGAGTGTCTACTGTGCGGGCACAGCGTCGATTCTGGGAGAGGTGAGGGTCGGCTGATGACCCATCGGGTCCAGTAACGCCTCGTCTCCCCTGGGCAGACGTCTGTGACCCAGTCAGGTGATTCATCTAAGCAAGTATATAAGTGTGGGTTTTAATATTGTAATAAAGTTAGTTAACTATTGTGTGTGTCTGCTCAAATGTTCAGATTTTGTGTTAATTCATAATCATTGTGATTTCTATTATTATTTTAAGTTGATTAAGATAAACCAAGGTTTTATATTTATCAAGAGATAGGATTGTTATAGAAATATTTTAGTAAAGCAATCTGAATTAACACCTAATAGTTATGAGTGTAAGTTATTAACTAATAGTCAACTCTGGATTCAGATACAGGCCATAATGCTCTGTTGGCTCAGGTCAGTGATAGATTGAGACGTGCTGCATCATGTCTTTGGCCTTGGTCATAGAACAATATGTTCAGTTCAAAAGCAGATTGTTACATATATCAGAGTTGTATCAGCGTTGGGACGCGTAAAGAGAAGCCTTGAGCAACACATATCAATGTTGACTTCATCTCTGTAATATCTAGAGTAGATATGTGTTTGTTTACTCTGGTCTATTTAATGTACAGTCATTTCCTCATTCGGGGCAGTCGGTTTCGGACGGCTGCCCGGTGGTATTGGTATCGGTTCTGTTATTCATTGTAATTGTGCGCATTTACTAATGAATAAACTCACACTTTGTTTGGAATTACGGCTCTGGGTTGTTTACATTATTCTACTCTTGTTATGTGCAGAATTTCTATAACAAACCTTTCAACATTTCGCCACATTTCAGGCTTCAAATATAAAGATATAAGGATTACATTTTTTTTTCAAGAATCAACAACAAGTGGGACACAATCGTGAAGTGGAACGAAATTTATTGGATAATTTAAACTTTTTTAACACAATAAAAAACTGAAAAGTGGGGCGTGCAATATTATTCGGCGCCCTTGCGCTAATACTTTGTAGCGCCACCTTTTGCTGCAATTACAGCTGCAAGCTCGAGCTCAGTGAGGTTGGATGGAGAGC